AACCAAGAATTCCAGCGTTTGACACCCCCGCAGGCCGCAGCAACCCTCAATGTCATATACTTTAATTCCCCCGATTTTCTAAACGGAGATGTAATATTTCTTGCAAATTTTTCAAACCCAAATAGGAAATTGAATGTTAAATACGAGTACCTGGATGTCGAGCTTTTCTTTTCAGAGACTCAAATAGCAGCTCAAGCTCTCCGACCATTCAGTCAAAATCCTGGAGAAACACGATTGATGTCGGTCCACTTGATATCTAGCTTGGTCCATCTGCCGCCAAATATTGTTCTGGAACTTCAAAAGCAGGTGCAGAGAAACAGGGTTGCATATGACATACGAGGGACTTTTAGAGTGAAAGTTAAGCTCGGAACTTTTCATTTTTCTTGCTAGTTGCACGGTAGATGCAAATTAGAGATGACAAGTCCACCTACTGGTGCTCTCATAACTCACAGTTGCAGAACCAAAAGATGAAAGGAACAGATTTTTCTCCTTTCATAAGCCCATTTTTCTGGTAATTCCGGATTTCATCAGAGTAGAAATTTTCTGAGCATAGATATATTAGAGATGAACGGTTCTTTTTTGGATGCAAAAGATGGCTAACCGCACTTAGGAATTACTACCTTATAATAGAAATATCATAGTCAGAAAACAGCCATCACTGGATTTCCATCTCTCTTGTTCACTAAGCCTGTATTTTAGCTTCTTCAAAATGGAGCAAAGACTTTCCATTTCCCTCTTAAAATATAAGCTCGCTGGCAAAGTTAGAATTTTTAGGTGGTGGTGGGTTTGAAGAATGAACTAAATAGCTAAATTCAGGCTTATGGCTTTCAGGTCTATCCCGGCCTCTATGAATTGATCTAAGTTGTCTTATTGCTTTCAATTTTTGAAAAGTTAAATATTCTGTTATCCTGTCTACTTCTCTACTTCAGCTTACATCTTTAACGGTTCCAATGATTTAAACACTGGCCAAAAAGGCATGACTAGATATGTCAAAGTACCAACAAAGATTTTCCAAATAATTTTCCTGCATCACATTCAGCAATTCTGTATTCCATTTTTCTACTGAAATTTAATTTATAGGAAGCAGACGGTGAACTATAATTGATTGCATAGATTAGGTCTATAATTGATGTCACTAGGGGCCAACACTTGACTGAACAACAGCGGAGAAGCAATGGAACAGTAAATCCTTAACCATAGTATTAGAACTTCCAACTCTCGCAAGAGGCTCTGGCATTTACAACAAATAGACTTGACCAAGAGGAAATCAACATAATGCCTAACATACCACCAAAAGTGATGCGGGAATAACCAAATAAGCTTTAACATAATAGAAGAGATTGAAAGAACAAATGGAGATCCAGGTGATTACTAGAGATTTAGTGATTCTGAGGACTGAAAATCTTCAGTGATATTTTAGTTGGAATAAAATGGGCTATTTACATGCTCTTCAAATATAGGACTCCAAAACCTGTCCTAACTAGGATAAAGTCAATAGAAAAGTCAAAAACCTAATGTAACTAGGAAAGCTTCAGTCACTATGAAAACGATCTCAATTCTAGTTGGAAACCCGCAGAAGTACTAAATTAAGAGTGCAGAAAAAGCTTAAAAGGAAGCCTTCCAGCCCCATTCCACCCTTCTGCAGTGCAATTCCCTGAGTTAGTTAAACAACAGTACTAAAAACATGAAAAGAGATACTACAGGGGTAGCATTCAGAGAGTAGGAGAAACAATGAGGCAGGACTAAAGCAATGTTCCAAATATTTGATAACAGTTACAGTAGAGAAAATAATAGTACGTTGTCATTTTCACTAGGATAACAAGATTCATAAATTGCTATGCAGTTAAGAAGCTGAGAATGCATAGACAGACGTATTCACAATGCACGATGTTACTAATGCTGACGGAGAAGGCCAAAGAAAAATGTAAAGCCAACAAGGTAGTAAAATTTTGAATTACACCGAGGAAAAGTACAAAAACTGGACCAAACTGAAACTGTGGATGAAGGTCAAAGCTTAAACTTCAAAAGGAATTCCAGACTAATGACAGTTCAACCCCCATTAGCATGCTTCTGTCCCACAGGCTCCATATCCTGTCAATGAGATCGTTAGAGATTATAGAGATTGACTAAGTTCAAGAAGATTGACGTATATTATGACTTAACATAATTATGTATATAATTATATTTACCATATTTAGGTTGATTACATGTATCATATTTAGAACCTGTCTGGGCGCGCTGAAAGCAGGAAGCAAAATCAGTGTTTAAAACGTTGTAGCTGCCATTGTTGACTGAATGTCTCATGCGTGGGACCCATCTCTCTCCTCCAACGGCAATATTATTGATTTTAATCCAGGAAGATGTGTGCCCAGACACAGCCTTAGATTGAGTCATGCATTATTTTCACTCTTAACAAGTCTATTGAGGAAAATGCCCTCAATCTCCTTGACAAACTGAGTCCGTAACCAATAGAAGCAATATCTTTATGAAATATGCATGAAGAGTAATACAAAAAGGTACTGCAAATAGATAGATAACCAAACATTTGAATAAACTAGTGATTTTTATAAGCAGAAAACCAAAATGGAACTCATTGCATCACTTGCTACTATAAAGTTTATTGTGCATTCACAAGATGAAAGGCACATTGTCTCGACTTCTATTATGTCAATAAATAAATATACATACGTCTGATGTAATAATTTTAGACATGAATTTCTTACTGAATTGAAAGGAGAAAAAAAATAAAAAAACCTCTATTGACTTATGCCTTCATTGGGGATCAACTTCAGAAGGTGTCTTTGCCACAATTGACAATGCTTGTAGACCATTCTGCAATTCGTCTTGCAACAAGCTGTAAATTAATCTATGCCTCTTAACCAAGCTCTTGCCTTCAAATTCTTCAGAAAACACTTTCACATTAAAATGTGTCTCCCCATTGCTTCCCTTAACCCCAGCATGACCTGCATGCTGGTATGATATATCCTCAACTTCCAATTCAATAGGTCTCAGCTCTTTCTCCAACTTCTCCTTTATCCACGTCCCTCTATTCCCTAATACACTAACATTACCCACACCAGACTCCAAAGCACTGGGACTTTCTTTAACATTTGATTTACCATTTCCACCATCATTCTTCAACCTCAAATCTGAATTCTGAGCCAGGTTTTTTTCTGCTAATTTATTGCTTGAATTACCATCCTTTTCACTTTCCACATACAATTGCAGAGCCTTCTTCTGCATCAACTTCAACATATTCAAGAACCCATTATTCCTAGACGGGGTCAAACTCTGCTGCAACCCAAGAAGCACCACAAAATCCGGTGAAACCCTCAGAATCTCTTCCACGGGCCGGCCAGAAAGACCCTGAACTAGCAAAGCAGCCAGCCCTTTAGTGAGAACTGAATCAGAATCTGCCTCAAAGATCACATTTTTATCACAGTCAAGATATGCTCTGACCCACACCTGCGAAACACAACCCTGCACTTTATTTTCACTTGTTTTATATTGAGATTCCAAAGGCTTCGAATTTCTTCCATAGAACAACAACTGTTCATACTTGGCCTTTGGTTCTTGAACTGCATGGAACAGTTTGATGATATCTTGAAGCTTTGGAGGCAACTCTTCAATGGGCTGGACAGAAACTGAAGGGGAAGAAGAAGATGGGGTCGATAAAACGGATTCTTTTGTGGTTATTCTTTGAAATGTAATTGACTTGGAGAAAAAGAAAAAAGTCGTGGGTGAAGAGGGTAAAGATGGGATTTTTATGGGTTTCAAGAATTGATTCCCGGAGCGATAAAAAGCAGGGGCAGACGCAGAACTTTAACGTTGGGGGCACAATCGAACTTGCAAAGAAGTTAGTAGAATTTTTACAATCGAAAATTCACGTCCAAAAAAATCATACTCCATGTAATTTTACATCTAAAAATTTAAATGAGATATGACTTTTTCAGATGTAAAATTTCCCTAATAAAATGATGAAAATTA